GTACAACTTGTAATTTCTTCCCTCTTCATGAACATAGAAAAGCAAAAACAGAAGAATCGTGACAGATTTCTCACCTCACGTAAGCTGTACGGAAAAAGATACGCGAAGTTGTATTTCACGGCCTCCATGAGAGTCAATGTATCTTGAAATTGCTCATCGGTTTCGCCGGAAAATCCGCAAATGAAATCCGAGCTCAGACCAATGTTAGGAATGAGACTACGGATATGATCCACGAGTTCCAAATAGGCTTCCCGTGTGTAACCTCGTCGCATCTTCTCCAGAATCTCGCTGTTCCCACTTTGCGCCGGAAGGTGAATATTCTTGCACACGTTCGGATTGTTTCTGATTACTTGGAGAACCTGATCAATTGGAATAAAAGGCGTTGCCATGATTCTCGCTGATAGATTATTCAACAAATGGAAAAATAAACACTCCCGCAAGAGTGCGGATAATCTTCGAACCTCGTCAGGGAAGTCTTTCGGATGCGGGGATGTGAAGCGAACCCGCAAATTGGGATCGATTTCCGCGACTCGAGACAACAACTCCGCAAAACGAATTCCTCCTTTCTTCGGCTTGTAAACAGTCTTGAAGCCCTTCGCCAGCCTGGATTCCGATTTCACTGCATGCACGGAATTCTTGTCAGACCCAACGTCTCGGTAACTGTTGACATTTTGCCCTAAAATAGTGGAAGTCCAGAAAGCAGTCGATTACTTCACAGGATATTAAAAAACCTTTCGTTCAACTTCAACGCTTCAATTGCTGTGCGGAACATCGATTAAACGTCTGAAATGATCACAAGATTTCCTGATGAAGACGCATATTTCCGCGAACATATGAGCATATATAATCACCCCCTAGTCTTCGTGCGCCTAAAACTGGGAAAAGAGGGAGCCTAACTTCGTGTAAATAGGGTACAGTATCTGAATTTGCCAAAAATGTAGGCAGATTTGAGATAAAATGCGAGCAATTCATTAAATGTTTCCCTTCCCGGCCTGCACTCGTCCAGTGCTCGAGGAGTTGAAATGACTACCATACAAGTTTTTAATAAGAATCAAATTATACATACCGTAACAAATGGTGCGGGAAGTTTTCTTCAAATCTTACGAAGAGTAATCAGGGAAGTGAGGATAAAGTTGTAAAACTAACCCAGAAGCGTGACTTCCTTAACGCCTTCATCCACCAGTCTCTCGACTTCCCGCAAAATTGACTCAATCGGACGAGATCGTTCACGTCCTCTCGTAAACGGCACAATGCAGTAACTACACATGTTATCACAGCCTCGCATTATTGATCTAGAAACCCCACAGAATTTGAGATATAAAAACCGAGTTTGGTTAACTTGACAATCCAAATCCGCTTCAAACCACGACTCACACAAACGCGGTAACTGAATTAGCATCCAATCGAACAGTGGCCAAATCGGCGTAGGTTTCTTCTAGAGACAGAGCGACGTTCATGGCTTGATCACCAGCCTCGGCGACGGAGAGCAAACGAGGCAAGTCTCGGTAGGCATCCGGGCCACAAACAACGTCCACCAACCGTTCTTCGCCTTCCAGAAGCTTCGATTTCAACCTTTCCGCCATGCAACCTGCAAAAATTGCGAAGGTTGTCCCAACCCATGATGTGAAGCTCATGAAATTCTCAAATCACGTAGAAATCGAGATCAAAAGGGAAAAATTATGATTTCCCCCTCCACACCTCAGAAAAAAGAAGGTTGAAATCCCTTGGATCATAAATACGACTTCTTCGGTCTCTATAAAATCAGCTCACAGACAGAGGAAAATAAAGCACGAAAATTCCAACGCAACCGCTAGGGTTTTGATCAAAAGGCTCGTAAAACATACTCAACGAGCGAATAAGAACTCATACGTAACAGAAATACGAATAAATTGCGCAATGACAAGAAATTTGAACATTTATCAGAAGAAATTGACAATACTAGTGCCACATGAGAATTCTTGAAGAGAGGAAAAAAATAAGAAAAAAAAAAACCCTGCGGAAAAAGCAGAGTGGCAACTTAGCTGATTCGACGAAAAACCCTCACTGACTACGTACACAGAAAATGTAAAAAAAAAAAATATTTACGTGTCCATCCATTTTCCAGAGAATCAAAAGTTGACGATTTTTTGCAGAACTACGACCAGGTGTCCCACAGGTTTACTATCCAAAAAAAAACAGGACAAATTCTCCATGTATGCATTACTTTTTAATGGAAGGATGAAAACGTCATCAAACAAACGGCTTTTTAAATTAATGGAAGAGTCCATTCACGATTCAGAAAATAAACTCAATTATCACTTTTCAGAGAATTTTGATTCAACGATTTTTTTTCCAGCATTACGACCACGAACCCAAAAATTCACTATCCCAAAACGGGATCTCTTCGAAGGGAGAACACGTCATTTTAGCCACGGCTTTGAAAAATTTGCGGAACGACCATTAATACGAACCAAGAAGTGCGACACGACTGACGCTTTTCTTCTTCTTCCGCAACGCCGCAAGGTCTCGCAATTTGTTCCAAATCTTCGATTCCGCTCCTTCGCGGATCGAACAGGTAACGATGAGGATGACGTCGGCGTCCGACGGTCCTACGGCTCTTCCGTAGCCGGCGTCCCGCAAAATTGTCCAAACGACATCCGCGTCGTTCACATTCATTTGACAGCCGTATATCTCGAAGTGAACTGTGGAATAGATTCATTAGTATTCGGATAGACAAAATAAATAAAAAATATGATCAAGCTTCAATCTCTGTGACGTAATGAAATAAAAATCTAGGCCATACAATGGACAAATTTTCCTCGCGGTCGAGTAACTCGTAATCATCAGTGCATTTCTTTCGGCGCCATTTCAATGGAAAAACAATGCCGATGAGAAAATTTGCGTTTGTGGAAGTCTAATTCACAGAGGAAACCATGTACTATAGAGGAAAGATAACTTAAATGTGATACAGAATTCAGGGAGATGATGGAGGAAGTAAATTACTTCGAAAAAAAAAAAGGAAGCGCAGGAAAATCCACACAGTGTATGCTCGGATACATCAATGAAGACCTGATGGTAAAAATTTAATACGGTACGTGGCTCAACAGTAATGTTGGAATTTCTCTCAAATTAGTTAGTTCTCCAAAGGCAATATTAAGATGGAAGAATTCGAGGGGACAACAGCATAGAATTTTCTCTTTCGGGCATTTTTCCGGATCACACATTTTTGGCTCGATACTCTCAGTAGTAAACCAGAGCATCTTTTTTAGTCAGCATACAATAATGCATCTCTCTTGTAGAAGGAAAAACCGATTAGTTGTTCTGTT